CCTGGGAGAACATGGTCCAGGGACTTATAGATTGGATCATAGATTTATAAACCGATTTTTAAAAACTTTGTATATATTTGATACTGGATGATATACTTATGCTCAATTTTTTTTACTAGGTTAAAAATAACTAACCCCTACTGGTGATCATTTTGCTTTGAAGCCATATTATTGATTGACTTGTCCATCGCTGTCCACATCAACTTTTTACTTTTTGGACTTCTTCTTGAAAGTCTGATATGTACCTTAAATTTGTTTATTTCATGATGATATTTATTTTTTTTCAAAAATGTTTTTGTGCCAGGCAAAAGTTCAAGACATTGAATATCACTGTTTTTTCTTCTGACTTTTTTGTGGATGTGTAAATTGCAAGTGCTGACACATAGTGATGATATATTTGATTCCTTAACTTTTTAATTTTTAGTAAAAAGTGATATTTTTTCAACTTCTTGTTGAAAACCGCAAGTCAGATTGCTTTGATATTATACATTTTATAGGTACTACAGGTGGGCTTCTCTCAGATTTGTTCATTTAGTGATGAAATCTTGAGTTCTTTAATTGAAAGAGCAGAGCTATCACAGTTGAGAGACTCCTTGTTTCTTGACTTTAATGTTGTCATACATCATCCCATACTTCAGGTCTATATGTCCATGCATGTATTGTTTGTTAGGCATTGTTTAAATAAAAATAGTTTAAAAACAAAAAATTGAGTGTGGTTTGTAATTAAACTTAATTTCAGTATGTACCTCGAACTGAATGTCCACACACACAAACAAATCATTCAGTTTAATGAAGAGCCTTCATGACAGAAGCACAAAAGAATGTTTGCCATTTAAGTTTGGACCATCAACACTTAATTATTTGTTAATACTCCAAATTAAAAATGTGTGTCAGGGGTCAAATATTTGACATTGTTGCTAGTGTATATGTGTGATGTCAGTGTGTGTTACTTCATATTTTCAACCATTTTTTTGTGATCCACAAGTGCAAGATTAAAGTTCAGCAATGAAGTTTTACACTACAGAACATACATGCAATCATGCATATAGAAACATTATCATTCAGGAAACTAATGTGTCACATTGGTTAATATATCTGCCCAATCATTTCATACAGAAACCTTGGTTAAGTAAATTTTAGACTCATCCATTCGACCCCCAATTTGTTTTATTTTGGGTGTACGGATCACTAGCTTCAATCTGTTCAACCATATGAAAAGATGAATTTGCCAAAATCCAGTTCAACTTCGTTCAACCTGTTCAACCAAATGAAAAGATGAATTTCACAAAATCCAGTTCAGCTTCGTTCAACCTCGTTCAACCTCGTTCAACCACGTTCAACCTGTTCAACCAAATGAAAAGATGAATTTGACAAAATCCAGTTCAGCTTCGTTCAACCACGTTCAACCTGTTCAACCTAATGCAAAGATGAATTTCACAAAATCCAGTTCAGCTTCATTCAACCTCGTTTAACCACGTTCAACCTGTTCAACCAAATGAATATACAATGCCTGTGATGCTATTGTTAGATACTAGTAGTCACTACAAGTGGTATTGGCTGATGACAAACACAGTCCCCAAATTAATGCAAACACTGAAAAGTACTTGTAGTTGGGGAATGCCAAGCAATTGTGGACATATATTGTAAAAGTTGTGAGATGTACCGATATATCATTTTTAAAGAACGATAAAAAAGAATTTTGCATCTCCTTGGTATTTATCAAATTTGGGAACAATGAAATACCTGAACACAGGTTTATTGGCAATAAGTATGTTCACGGTTAGTAACCGTGGTCTGTTGTCATTCATAACGATCCTTTTTGAGTTGCTTGATTTTTTATTTGTCAATGTTGTGATGGGGTGAGTGTGGATATGCCATAGTTTAGAGCAAATTTCTGCTTTTTGCAAGCTGAGATTTGCGTGCGTGAATCCACAGTTACCATTGGCTGGTGATGCCCTCAAAAGTCGGCATCATGGCAACCAGCTAACAGGTGTTTTTTTTACTTTTGCTGTGTCCACAATGACTAATTTTTGCTGGGTTTAAATTTCGCTGATTCAGCATTTCAGGGATATTCAGTGGGAATTAAATTCATAGTTTTAACATTTAGATAATGTGTTCTATGCTCAATTTTACATATTCACTGGGTTTTAATTTAGCACATTTTCCAGTCAGCTAATTAACCCTTTTACAGTAGATTACATTAAAGCCAGCCATTGTTTCCATGTTTTGAGCCTTGGGTCACACATGCATGAGTTCCTGTTCAGAGAATCAACATGTTTTTACCGATGATATCTATACTTCTATGATTATTTCAACGCCGATATGTCCATTCTTATTTTAACGAAATATTAAACTTATCACTACTGGTTCATAATTTGTATCGATCTCATTTAACTTCATACTAGTTAAAATTGTTATTCTATTCACCCGTAAACATACTCCTTCTTCCCGGTTAGGCAATGGTAGACGTTTCTAATCTATGTTTCCTGATGCATGTCATTTGTTTTTTCAGATAGGATTCAAAATGGCTGACTGGCGGCAATTTTGTTTAAATGAATGCGCTTCTAGAGCCATATCTCCATGATATGCTTTGACTGATTATGTTCAAATTTTTATATATTCGTTTTACATCATGTTATAGATATATAGATGTATTCAAAATGGCCGACTGGTGGCAATTTTGTTTAAATTAATGCTGTTCCAAAGCAATACTTCTCAATATGGACAAGTACTCGTTTGACGGATACAAAATGTCAATCATTTTAATGTTAAAAATCATCATATTCAAGCATCATTTTCTGGATTCATATTCCTGACATGGTTATATTCCAACTATATTACTACATGTATAAACAAAACTATATATCATAAATTTGATAACTAACGGGGACTATGCCATGCATGGCTTGTTATTATTCATTTAAGTGTGTATATCAATAAGTTCTTGATTGTTCATGATCGTGATTAATATTCCAAATTCGATAGAAATGCATTTCTTTGCCTGAAATCGCCAGTCTGTTTTCTTTGAGAATTATACAAAGGAATGGGCTGATATACAAGCATGATAAGTACCGCCCGCTTTTTGGACCTCGCCCGGGAAAATTAGTGGCTTCAAGTTCATTAAAATTCACAGATCCCACGGTGCCATGCCCGCCAATCACCAATGATATTTAAAACCTTTTTTCCTTTAATGTGAGTAAATCCAACACACACAAATGCTTAGAAATATGATCTTGGTTCGAGTTGGCAGTGATGCGTGTTGACTCTGGTGCGAGCTGGTCTGATGCTAGTTCGTTTTGGTGCAAGTTGGATCAAAATCGACACAGACAGTGGCTGGTGAGTGAGCGCAGCTGAGCAGTTATCAACTAAAAAATTTACTGACATACCCATGGAACATTGAAGTGCCTAAGCTACAGACATCAAGACTTGAATGGGATTCAACTCCTAGGGTGCTAGTATTTAGATTTCTGCAATATTTTTTCTATATATATATATTTTAAAATGTTGTCTGTGGCCACTCTGGCTGTCCTCACTGGCTGTCCTCACTATATTTAACTATAAAAATAACAAATAAATATTAATTAATGCAGTTAAACTTGGTTATGTTGTCATGTTCGTCAAACTAATGTGGGGTTACAAGATACCGTATGTACACACATTGCATGTGTGGTATTTGTATTCAATACAGGATCCATACAATTATATGTTTGCATACAGTGTGATCCAAACATAACTTAACAATTACCTGGCTTCAAGCTAACTTTGGTTGCTTTGAAAACTACTAAATATCTAAATTATGTCTAGTAATCTGTCTATGTATCTTATCAGTAACATAGGTGTACTACGTAGAATAAGTTGAAATTAATAATAACATTGATACAAGCTTTAAAAATTACAAGTTTTTATAAAAGGTCAGAACTAGTTGATAGCCGGACTGAAAGTTAATTTACACTCAGACTATACTGTATTTGAGTGCGAATGTTTCATGGTTTACTTCCAATCCACCAATTCGGTATCATCCAAAGAAAATTTGTCTCACAAAATTAAAAATATATATATATCATATAGAGAGGCTTATTAAACTGATTTAACATGTACATCCATGACAGTACTGCGAATGTTCCATAAGATCTAAATGTGTGACCTAAAATACGACTTCTGTGATGGAAAAATGAGACATGATCTCTTTATTATGCATAAAATCCTGTACAACATTGTTGGAAATTTGTCATACTGTCGTTTAGACATTTTCTATTAATTGTAAGTTTTTTTATTTCAATGTATGAGAGTATTATACCATCGTGGGCACACTAATTTTATGGGTAACTCATAATCTGATTTATTATATAGGAAATGTGAAACTCAAACCAGATATTGAATATGTGGATCACTCGTACACTCTCACCAAAAGTAAAACTATTATCCTAAATTCTGTTAAATTACATTAAATTCAATTAGATAAAATTAGATCAAATTACAATTCTATATAGAAAAACAATTCAATTACAACTTAAACTCAATAACTATAAGAGTGCAATTTAATTGTAGTTTAACTAGTTATTTTTAGCTTCGCTGTCGACTTTGTCGAGCAGAGCTTATCATACATGTATGAGTGATTGTCCATCGGTGTCTGTCGTCCGTTGTCTGTGTCATTGTTTTACTTTTTCGACTTCTT